CGTTAGAAACACACCATACCACATGGTGGCAAGCGGAAAGACAAACATAAAAATCAGTGAAATAACTACAAGTTCCAGTGTATTATGAATAGTGTAGCCTACACAAGTGACACTAAGTGAATCATCAAACATTTTTTTATATTTCCAAGAAATTCAGTGGTGGAAAGATAAAGACTTGCTGATTTTAAACAGCCAAGTCCTAAGTACCCAGCAGTGAACTCCACCAGCACCCAGTGGAATCGACACCTCCTGAGACCAGCTGAGTGTTACGACATCGGAACCATCCTTCCTAGAGAAGCTGTTCCAGGTTCCAGCAAACGTTGCGATGGTGTAGTAGAAAGGTCAATCCCATGTTTATCATTGCAAGAAAGGTCAGAGTTCGATTTCAATCAACTGCCAGACACAATGTCATTGACTTCAAGAGTAGGATGTCATCGACTTTCGACATCACCATGAGATATCGAGGTCCCAGCCGTCATTGAAACTACAGATTATACCGTCCTGTCTTCCGGTAGACTACAAACATTCATTATTTTTACAGACTACACAAACACAAAAGTTCTTTCAGTAGTCTTCACTAGGTAGTCAATATAAATTAAACCATATATCTAAATGCCTAAAATTTAAACTAAATAAAGACATCTGATAACACATTTATAAAGTAAGAGAACCATCACAAAGTACCTGTACTGTAAGTCTCTTTTCTCTTGTTATTCCCATAACTCATTATAAATACTTTTGAGTAGGTAAGCGAGTGTGTGTTATGTTGACATTTAATGATACATAATCTTATTCATGGACTCATCAGAGCTGGAAGCAACTAGCAAGGAACTACCAAATAGAGTTAACTCTTACGGATTCAGTAAATAACTGTGAAAAATTAATCAAATTCTCAGTCTGAGGAATTAAGCAGTAGGCAACTTAGGTCTGGTACCACTTACCCATTACCTTTACTTGTCATCAAAGCTAAAGCTTTAACTAACACTGCAATGATAGCATGTCTTCAGATGGTTCTACTAACACACTTCCCTTACTTTTACTTTTATCCTCTTCGCCAATGATCAGCTCGTTAGTCACTTGGGCGGTAGGTCACGTCTCTGTTACACACTGTTGGCAAGTACAGGGCATGTACTGGCTCATGAATGTGACTATCTACGCCACTGTTGGTCAAGTCTGGTCTGGAATGAGCTCTCACTTGGTGCCATCACCACACTCTCTGGCAGATTGTTCCAAGTGTTCACAATTCTCACTCCAAAAACGTTTGTCCAGATAGTTTTCTGGACTTGAGCTGTGACCCACTGTTGGGCAGGTGTCCACCAGCTCCAGGTATGGACACTTGACTAATTAGTGTCCTCTGAGATGTTTATACAACACAATTAGGTCACCCCTTATCCGTCTATAGTATATGCTAGGCAGGTGCAGGCGTTCTAAGCTCTCTGGGTAACTGAGGTATTGTCGTGCAGGGACCAGTCTGATGGCCCTCACTTGGACATTTTCAATCAACTGACAATCTCTAGCTTATCTTGGGGACCAGACGGAGTGACAGTACTCCAGATGGGGAAACACCTCACTCTTGAAGAAAGCTACGAGGGATGGACTGTCTAGATATCTGAACGACCTTCTTAAAAAACCTACTAGTTTAGTTACTCGATTCACCTTCTTTTCACAATGGCCCAAGAACTTCAGTTCATTGTCAACAAACACACCCAGGTTCTTTTCACATTCGGTCTCTATTAATTAAATTTCTTTGTCCCGTTGAGACATGTGATATGCCTCTGTACTGTACTGTTAGTACGACCTAAGTGCATCCTCCTACACTTCATGACATTGAATCTTAGCAGCCATTTCTTCGACCACTTTTGAAGCTGACAGAGATCGTTCTGTAGCTCTTTCCCAGAATCACTTCGCATCATCTGCAAACACTACCATGTGGAATCCCGCTTGTCACGGGTACACATGACAATTTCGTGCCATTAATCACCACACTCTGCTTGCAATCATGAAGAAAGTCTCCGGTCCACACCAGGACACTTCCCCCAAATCCCGTATCCTTCCAATTTAATTATCAACCTTTCATAGGGTAGGCTGTCAAAAGCCTAGGCAAAATCTAGGTATATAATGTCGGCCATGCAGGCGCTGCAACACAGTCAACCAAGAGACAACGTCCACATCATAACCTCGATCCTCGCACAGCTACAGGACTTCCAAAGACAAAATCGCCCAGTCGTCTTACACTGGATTCCCAGTCAGGTAGGGATTGGGGGAAATGACATGGCAGACGAAGCAGCCAAGGCAGCCACACGTTCTAAAAGCATACACATTCAAGTTCCAGCAAGCGTGCAACAGATCAAGAACCACCTCAGAAAGACTACCAAGCTCCACATCCAAAAGAGCTTCCTTCACGCATTCAACGCTGATTCCCAATCAGCCAAATGGTATCTGGTGGCTACAAAAGGGGAACCACCTTTCGCGGACAAGAAAACACCAAGACAAACCCAAGTTAGCCTTCATCGACTACGACTAGAGTACAAGTGCACCTGGCAGACGATCGGAAATGTCGTCAGGGAATGCACCTACTGTCAGGAGCCAGCGGCCAACCCACTGGAACACTATCTCCTCGACTGCGAAGTCACACATAGTCTCCAAAACAGAATTCGAAACTTCCAAGAACACACAACACCAGTGGCCACTCTAACCCGAAAGGCCCAAACAAACCACATTCACCACCTTCTACGGGTCATCACACGATACCCACCACCCAGATAGCTTAGGAAGTATCCTCCCCCAGCAAGTGCGGACCCCAGTTCGGGGGGCGCGCCACTCCGAAACTGACCACGTCCAAGAGTGGGGGTTGGTGGTAAGCGCTCACTGACCGAGGGTCCGCTCACACTTGCAAACCTGCAGTATCCTTTCATATCTGCAGGTAGGACAACCTCCAATCCCAAATCCAGTCTGGCTGTCCCAAGAGCGCCAGCTGGAACCACCAAACGGACCGCCTACAGGCAAAGGCCCATGTACAATCTCAACAACAACAACAACACCACATTGGCAGTCCTTTACAAGGTTGTTTCGGAGTAGATGTTCCGTCATGGTATCTCTTTTGATGCTCTCTAGTACTTTACACACTATGCCGGTCAAACTTACTGGTGTATAATTACTTATTCGTGGAGTGACGATCATCCTTCTTAGATTTAGGACTCACATAAACTATTTTCCAGTCCCTGGGGACCTTTTGCTCATACAGGCTTTTACAGACCCCCCAGGTCTTTCAATCTGTGGAAATACTTCAAAATAACATTAAAGTTTAGGAATTTACAGGTGACGATGACGATTATAATGTCATGACATTCCTGCAAGCGTGCAAAGACGTAATGCGTCACAATAACGTTACTGCTGATGAGGATAAAATCGTATATACCTGAAGTAACGTCAAAACTAATAGTAAGACGCATAGAAAGATGTACGCCACGGCCTTTGACAATAAAAACCTTTAGTACCAAATGTCTAAGGGTAATTTTATATCCTTTTTCAGGTCGAGTACAAAGGCAGATGCGCTCACTTGGATCTTCAAGATGGCAGAGCATACAGTTGTCAATGCATTTGTTCATGATGCACAGGAGACACAAGCCATTGCCAGACACATTGATGAATTTTATGGGTTAAGGACCAAGGGAACACTACTATGGCCAATTTCTGTAAGAAAAATGAGTTCCAACAATTTATTATGGTGATGCAACCAGCTGAATGCAAAGCAGCCAGAAAGAAAGAATGTAAACCCATGACCAATCTTGTAAACTAATTGGAAGAAATTTCTGACGTGGTGGAAACTACTCCCTGGACTATGCCAGTAGCACCAGTAACCAGTGCCAAGGACTCACCTCAAAATAACACAGGAACAAAAACCAAAAACGTACCTTTCTGCAAAATCTGCAAATGGAAAGGGCATATCACCAATTGTGAATACATTAGTTTAATTTTTGATTAGTTATTCATGTTACATGTTCTGTGAGGCAATCTAACAGCACCATCTGTTGAGAGATGTTTTAACTACCCTTTTTCTTGCTGTTTTAAGTCCTCATTTAAAGGTTTGTTTGGTGAAAGGATTCAGGGAAGCACCTGGGCAGTCGCTTGACTCCCATCAGCCACTGACGGCACAGGTACGCTTCGTTCCCAATTCTTTGTGGTGTCCATTCCTGTTTTAATAGTGAAAAAAGTTTTGGTTGCTGGGTCCATTATAGTTGGACACTTTGAAGTTTATTTTGTATTATTTCTGGTGTGTTCCTTTACCAGGAATCTACCTGAGTTAAGGACCAAACTACAGGAGATGTCCATTCCAACCGACCTGATTAGCTACCACCTGGTTCCGTCAATTCAGTCAAGCCACACTACTCTTCTGCATCAACTCCCGACTTCAGTGAACCAACTTTATTCTTCATCCTTGGTCTACCTGGAACCCTGTTATTTACAATGCACCGTAGTTCACCCCTACGGCAGTGATGAGGTTCTAAGCTCTAGTGGGGAACCCAGATCAGAGAGGTTTTGTCCAACTATAGTTTTCTTCAATAGTGGTGGAATGTTGGACCTTAACGGTTGGAAGTGGATCAGTGCTAATTTCTTGTACCGATTATTCTTAACTGCTAGTGACATATTTTTGTGTTATTTTATTCCTACATTAACAGTTGTGCCATTATTTCCTACATTCACCTTTATCACAATCTTCAACACTGCCTGTAACATACATTGTAATTCCACATATTGACTATTAAACTCTTCTATTTTGTTAATAACACAGTACCTGCACATACTAAATATATTGGAGGCAAACTTTAATCTTTGATAATAATTATAGCTTTGTATACATACTGTAGTACATATAGAAAATAAAACACTGACTGATGACCTGTGATAATGGCATTTCCTTTCAAGAGAAATTATGTTTTAATCTTTATTTGAAAACACGAATACCGGGTAATTCATTGTACTGCACCTTGACATGAATACTTACGAATACTGTGAGAAGGGGACGCCTACTATGAGGACAGGGTTGGACTTGATGTTAAGTCTCCACATGCCATGGTGGTAGCCCCGGCCATCAAGGTCCCATATACGTAAGCACTGCAAGTATCGCTAGAATTAGATGACAGTAGAAATGTTTTCAAAACTTCAGTGAACAAAAGGAGTGTAACTTGCCCTAACCTGTGGTGGTGTAGACGTGAATATCATATCCTGCACTTCATCTGAGGATAGTACAGTATATATGTATGTGAAGTTCCATAAAAAATATATGTATAAATATAATACTCTATACTTTACTTTATCCTCTACACCACTGATCGACTTGTCAGCCTCTTGGATGGTTGGTCACATCTCTGTTATGGATTGTTCACAAGTACTGGGCATGTACAGGTTCCAGAATGAATCTGTGCCTGCACCAGTGATGTGATGGTCAAGTCTGATCCCGAATGAGCTCATACTCGGCGCCGTCACTTTAGACAAGGAAAGTTTTACAGATACTGTACCTATAACACAATCAGTCTGTTTTTCAATGTAAGCTTATTAAACTATGAAAAATTGAGAACCGTAATAGACAACGTAACAGCGTTCAACTCTAGTTACCTCCTTGTCATGGAGGATTTCAACTATGGTGGCATCGACTGGAGAAATGGAATTACACCAAGTGACTTCAATAGCCCCGCTACTCTTTTTGTAGAAACTCTTGAGAAACAATATTCTATTCCAGCATGTTAACGATCTGACTCAATATAGAGGGGAACAAACACCCAAACTGAGGGACGTCATCATAGCCAACGAGGAGGGTATGGTGGCTAAGCTGGAAAATCTAGTCCCCGTTGGCACCAGTCATCATGTGACATTGTCCTTCAGATTTAACTGTTACCTGATTAATGATAAGAACAGGCTAAGGTTCAAATATTACAGTGGTGATTGCTACAGGATGAGGGAGGAGATAAGGGGCATTCACTGGTCTGACTCACTGGTAAACAAGAATGCAGATACAACCCTGTACATAACAATCAGTAAAGTTAACTATTTGATCGATAAATATATTCGCAAGACCAAAACCACTGGCTCCAGGAAAACAAGGAAATCTTTACATGTGAATCATGCGGCAGATGACAAAGTTAAGAAGAAATCTCAGAAATTCAACAGATGGGTCAAGGCATTAAATAATTTCTTTTCTTCGGTGTTCACAAGAGAAAATGCGAACAATCTCGCTGCGTTTGAGGAAAGATGGCTAACACACATTGTGTTCTCAAAAGAGAGCATTATGAATAAAGTGTCAAAGCTACTGTATAAGTTCATAAGAGTCAAGGCCCGGAGAGCATGCATCCCAGAACGCTAAGAGAGTTGAGCAACGAGCTTGCTGTACCCCTTTAAATCTTGTTATGCAGACACATGGATGATGAAAAGATCCACAATAACTGGAGAATAGCATATGTGAGTCCTTTATTCAAACAGGGGGATCACCACTCCAAAAATAATTAAAGGTACTAGAGCATTTTAGCATTATAATAGATGCCATGCTGGAACATCTGCTACGAAACAACCTAGTAAAGGACTGCCAACATAGTTTTATGCAGTGATGCTCCTGCTAGACGCAATTACTTAAGGTACTGGATGTTTGGACCAAGATCCTGAAGCATGATGGTAATATCAACAACATATAGTATACAGTATCTGGACTTTGCTAAGGCTTGCAACAGCGTACCGCAAGGAAGACTATAAATTAAACTGGAAAGGTACGGAATAATGGGAGTGTCCTAGCGTAGATCGAAGAATTTCTTCGTGACTGCAAGTAATATGCGAAGTGATTAACGCTGTGAAATAGTCATACATCCCCGAGACAAGTGGAGTATGAGAGAGTACTGTAGTGTACTAGGCTTGTTGTTGTTTGTTTGTTTCATACACGACATCCCAGAAGCTATACACTCCTCCATGCAAATGTTTGTGGACGATACCAAGTTATTCAAGGAAATTAAGAGCCAGATGGACTGTGAAGAGCTACAAAAAGATATCTGTCAGCTTCAAGAGTGGTCGAAGATATGACTGCTAAGATTGAATGTCACGAAGTGTAAGAGGGTGTATCAAGCAACTAAGCTCGTGGGTCTTATAAAAAGGAGCGTTCAGATATCTTGACGGTCCTTCCCTCATAACGCTCTTCAAAAGTGAGGTGCTTCCCCGTCTGGAGTGCTGTCACTCCATCTGGTTCCCGAGATACGCTAGAGATTGAAAACGTCCAAAGGAGGGCCACCAGACTGCCATAGTGCAATGAGATTAGAACACCTGCAACTGCCTAGCTTACACTATAGGTAGGCAAGTGGTGACTTAATAGAAGTCTATAAACATCTCGGAGGACATTACTCAGTCCAGTGTTCATACCTACAGGTAGAGCTGGCAGATGCCCGCCCCACTATGGTAACAAATTATATTTTTTATTTATTTTTTTTTTTTTAGGGGGAAAAGCCCAGCCGGGCACAGGTCATCGACCCACAATGGGGCCTAGGGGGGGCGAAAAAAAAAAATAAAAAAAAATAAAAAATAAAAGATTATATAAATCTAGATCACGAAGCTGCCGGAAAACCATTTTTTTGAAGTGAGACAGATTGTATGAGTATGGAAACATAGAAGAAGGCAGAGCATTCCACAGATTGGCTGTGTGAGGAAAGAAGGATGTACTACAATGGGTTATTCCAGTGTGACCGACATCCACAGAGAAACGGTGGGCACCTCGGGCAAGACGAATTATGCGAGCCCACGGCCTTGCCGGCGATACACAGGATACCAAATCCACCAAACATTGTCCGTTAAAGTACCTTTAAAAGAGAGAGTGTGAAGCAACATTGCGGTGAAGAGAAAAGGAAGAGAGATGATCAACTAAAGGAGGAGATTCAATAAGACGAAATGCCTTTGATTCCAGCCTGTCGAACAGTTGGACAGAAGAGCCACCCCAGATATGAGAGCAGTACTCCAAGTTAGGACGAATAAATCCTGATATACTTGAAGCAACTGCTCAGGAGTGAAGTAGCTACGGCATCTGTACAGCATTCCCAGCTTTCGGGAGGCGGCTTTAGCTTGTGGATGTGTGGCTTCCACGACATATTAGAGGAAATGGCGAGGCCTAGCATATCTATTTTAGAATTTGGCAGAATGATTGCTCCCTGAAAAGTGATTGGTAGGAGATCAAGTAATTTGGAAAGTGTAATTGGTAAATACTGAGTTTTATTACAATTGAATTTAATCGAGTTTCTGCCTCCCCATTTGGAGATGCTGTACAGATGCGCATTGATAGATGAGATGATATCAGCTCTAGAAACAGATCTAGTCTGAGAATTAGGAGGAAGGGAAAAATGTGAAGAAGAGTAAAGAGTAGAATCATCAGCGTAAGAATGGATAGAATTAGTCGTAGTGTGAAGTGAATCATTGATAAAAAAAAGGAAGACAGTAGGTGATAGAGCAGAACCCTAAGGGACACCACTATTGGTAGAGAAAGAGCGAGAGATAGATCCCTCGACAACAACTGCCATAGATCGGTTTTCAAGGCAGCTAGAAATTAGATAACAAAGTGGGGAAGAGAAACCATAAGAGGGAAGTTTGGAAAGCAAAGACTTGTGCCATACCCTGTCAAATGCTTTGGAGATATCGAGGGCCACGACGGAATGTTTCCCCATAATCCCTAAGAGAGGATGACCAAAGATGGGTGCAGTAGGAGAGCAGATCACCAGTAGATCTCGCCTGGCAAAAGCCATACTGGTGATCAGACAAAAGGTAATGGCGTTCAAGGTGACGGGGAAAATGGGAATTCAAGATAGTTCGAAAATCTTAAAGAGGGATGAAGTTAGGTGCAATGGGGGGATAGTTAGAGGGATTTGAATGGTCACCCTTCTTCGGGATGGGCTGAACCGGGGCAAGCTTCCAAGAAGAAGGAAAAGTTTGGATTTTGAGGCAAAGGTGAAAGAAGCGAGCAAGCACAGGGGCTATAATTTCAGCACACCCCCCAGAACACGAAGGGGTATTCTGTCCGGTCCATGCGCCTTACTCACATCCAACCTGGATAACACACCAGCAACCCTACGAGTGGAGATTATAGGAAAGTGCATAGGTTCAATAGGAGGAGCATGGGTAGGAGGGATAGAGTTGAAATTGTCTAAGGTGGAGTTAGAGGAGAATAAGGTGCCAAAGAGATTGGCTTTATCAGGGGGAGAGTTGGCTATAGAGTTATCAGGTCTGAAGAGAGGAGGAAAAGAGGGAGTGCAGAAGATATTACAGTATTATGCGGGGATTATAATGAAATTGGCACCACTGATATCCAGGACCAGCTGTCACTATCATAAGTTGTGAACTTTCCCACACGCAGTCAAAATACCCTTGACCTTATCTTAACCGACTTAGCGGACCAGTACCAACCACCTCAACCACTGCTTCCTATCGGGTGTAGCACACACCTATCAGTGCTCTGGTCCCCAGCTGCCACTCCCACTCAAGTACAGAGACCCTACATCAGGACCTACAGGCCGATTACTGACTCTGCAGTGCGTCTCTTTGGGCAGTGGATAGTTCACCATCCCTGGACTGAAGTACTTAGTGTGGATGACGTGGACACCAAATGGATAAATTATACCAACACCACCACGGAAGCTCACCACCAGTTCTTCCCCGAGAAATCCTTCAGAGCTCACCCAGCTGACTTGCCCTGGATCACACCTCTTATCAAAAGACTTATGCAACAGAGAGACAGAGCCTTTTATCTCAATGACCACAACTGCTACAGGTCCCTGCGCAACCGAGTCATCCGCGAAACACACACTGCAAAGAAGTCTCACTACCTAACCAAATTGCAATGCCTGAAGCAGACCAACATCAGTCAGTGGTATGGTAAGCTTAAAGAACTCTGTGGACTAAACAATAAGACACACCCCCTCCGCTTCCTTAGCCATCTCACTAATGTTGACGCAGCTGAGCAATCAAATAACCATTTCGCTACTATATGCCAGACGCTCCCCCGGCTTGACACAACCAATCTCCCTGCTTACCTACCAGCCCCCTTTCCCGCTGACTTAGTAGAAGAATTTGAAGTAGCAAAACGTCTGGGCAAACTGAAATTAAAACGCTCTACCACCCCCATTGACTTACCAATGAAACTCTTCAAGGAGTTCTCCATCATCAATGTTTCCCTCAGTCAAGCCAGATGCCCAGTTGGCTGGAAGACTTCATCTGTGTCACCAGTGCCCAAGTCAACCAGCCAACAATCCTTAATTCAGCTAAGACCCATTGCAATCACCCCAATACCCAACTTAATCTGTGAAAGCTTTGTGTTTGACTGGGCTTATGCTGATATTACAGGCGCCGTAGATTCTCAGCAATTTGGTAATATGAAAACTTCCTCCACCACTCACTGTCTTGTCAGCTTTCTCGACTATATATACCGCCCTCTGGTAAAATGAAAAACGTCTGTAGCTGTCGCCTTCATTGACTTCACCAAGGCATTTGACCTAGTCGACCACAATTTAATCATCAACAAAGCTATCGACCTCGGGTTTCGAAGAAGTCTTATACCATGGCTTACAGACTTACTCAGTAACCGACGCCAAGCTGTACTCTTCCGAGGGGCTGTCTCCACCTTTCAGCCCTAAGATAAACCCCTGCTCATTGGAAATATGTCGACAACTCCACCATTAGGATCAGTGTCAAGAACTCTGCTCCGACTATACCGCTCTTCAGGATTTATTGGACAGTCTCCAAAACTGGGCCACCAACAACCATGTCACCATCAACCATACCAAGACCATGGTTATGCACATCAACCTCTCCTCCGACATTGCCCCACCCCCTTCCATTACTTTAGGTCCGAACACACTCCAGGTTGTAGATTCCACGAAGCTCCTCGGCGTTACCAAAGACAACAAACTAAATTGGAAACCACACGTCAGTGAAGATGTCAAATCCTCCAGTTTCCGTCTCCACCTCCTCCGCAGACTCAAGTCCCTCAGAGTTCCTGCGCCCGAGTACTTCCCAAACTCACCTATGCCTCCCCTACCTGGTCTTCCTCCCTTAATGCCACACAATGTAAACGCCTAGAAAAAGTGCAAAAGAGGGCATGCAAGATTATTCTCTCCCCTTCCTACTCCGCATATCAAGAAGCGCTCAACATACTGACCCTCTCGGCTCTTTCTGACCATCACCACGACCTCATCTGCAAATTTGGTGAGAAGCTACTGCACCATCCTCGACACCGGCTCCTACTACCACCCGAGATCCCTCGTCCAAAAATTGCTGTTCGACACCACAACCGCATCCAGCCCATACGAGCACGAACTGATCGCTATAAAAACGGCCCCAGTCCCAACCATTGTAAGAATTATCACTAACTTGTAATCAACCAGTGTATTCGCTCCTAGTCAATCTTACTTTTCGCACTGTCACTATGTTGAAATGCCCTGTAGTTTGAGCTTCTCCGCACCTAATTATTATATATTATATTTGTATCACTTATGTTACTTGTATATCATTTGTAAATCAAGAGACCCATTCTCCAATTGTGTAATTGTATATTTTCAGCCTTCAGGCTACCATGCTCTTTCAATAAATGTTAATTATTATTATTATTATTATTATTATTATTATTATTATTATTATTATTATTATTATTATTATTATTATTATTATGTTTTTGGTTAAGGACCAGAAGGATTTACTAGAAGAAGAGTTAGTCAGGACGGTGGTCTTTCTTTTTTTAAAATTCCGACTGGCCCTACGAATAGCCTTACAAAGATTCCTAGAAGTAATGAAAGAGGAATTGGTAATAGGGGAAGGAGATAGTTTCATAACTTGATACGCCCTATCTCTCACCCTGCATGCAAGAGAACAGGAGTGATCAAACCATGATTGTAAAGTGAAAGTTTTGGCAGATGATGGGATAAATGCACTCATACCACCCTGTATAACCCCAGCAATGCTGTCAGCACATATCAAGGAGTCCCGAGTGGAAAAGCAACATTTATCCCAAGGAAAGTTGGTGAAGAATTCCCGCAAGCATTGCTAGTTTGCCCTCCGATATTGCCATAGTCTGCGTGTAGACGGGGGTGGGGGAGGTGGTCGTGCCCAGTTTGATTTAATAGAAACAAAATTGTGATCAGAAGACCCTAAGGGGCCAGGAATTGAGTATGAATAGTGTGAGGGGTTAGAGGTAAAACAAAGATCATGAATGTTAGAAAATTGATTGTGTCGATCAGGAACATGTGTTGAGTGTTTAATTATTTGTTCCAGATCATTAAGTCAGGAAAAAGAGAGTGCCTCAGCTCCACCTGGGTCATCTCTCGCAGAGCCAAGCCACTCTCTGTGATGTACATTGAAATCCTAAAGGTAGTGGATCACGGTGTTGGGGTGTGTGGATAGCAACGACTCATGGCAAGAAGTGAGATACACAAAGAGTTCTAAATAGTTGGTAGAGTTGAGAGAACAGTATAGGAAACAAAGAAAAATAGTCACAGTTGGTAGAGATATTTTGAGCCAGATGACATCATAAAGAGAAGATTCAAGATCAGTGAGTCGAGCTATAGGTGTACGTGTGTTGCAGTAGGCGCATACACCTCCCTTAGAAAGGAAAGAGGTACAGGGTATAAACTTATAAAGGTTGTAGTTGGAGATTTGAAAAGGTTTGGGTGAAGCTGCTTTGGTCAGTTGAAGTTCAGATAGTAGGAAGTGGTCAAGAGGTCAATAGATGGTGCTCCACAGGAGGAAAATTGGATTTCAGGCCACGAATTTTGGAAAAATGCAGTGTGAAAAAAGCTGATCCTCCAGCAACCGCGGTGCCGTCGTTTGAGGCCCCAGTAGTTTGATGATGATCAGGTCGGCCCTGGGGTCCACAACCTTCCCGACCAGTGGGACCCATCCAAGAAGGCCCCACTTCAATATTTTTGTCAACTGACACCATAGGAGAATAAAGAATAGAAGGAATAGAACAGATCAAGAGTGAGTACAGTTATATTTGTTGTGTTGTCAACAGTAAGAGAAACAATTGAGACCCTGCAATTGTGTGTAAATGAGGCAGAAAGACAGATTAGCAACTTGGGACTTGGTCACAATTTTTGTGATGCCATATGGCAGCAGGGTCTACCATTAGACAATACATTATGCTTCCAATATCTTCCCAGGCGGTAGTACCTCCCTGTTTGGTAGCTGCCTGCTTCCTACTTTAAGGTTGAAGAAGCCACAAGTTCATAAAATTGTCAAGACAAACTTTTTGTGAGTGAGAGCTGTGAACTCTTGGAGCAATCTTCCAAAAAGTGTTATGAAGGCACTGAGTGTGAGCTCATTTAAGACCGGACTTGACCACCACTGGAACAATGTACAGATACATTCTGGAACCAGTATATGCCCAGTACTTGCCAACAGTGTATACCGGTGACGTAACCAACCGCCCAAGTTGCTAACAGGCTGATCAGTGACGAAGAGAATAAAGTAAAGTACGTAAAGTAACACTGACTCCTGTTGTCTCGGTAGGGTTGTCAGAATCCTTCGTCTGTTGCGTCATATTGTCTGACACAAAATTTTAAAGATCCTTTTTGGAGCGCGTGTACATATCAATACTGTTGATATGAAATTTTATGCAAATCTAATATGAAAAGAACCACCAAATCAACATCAGAACATGAACTATCAGTTTGAGGGACCTTGGCGACTTGCAGCCATGTAGTGTAGTCTTTGTGGTGGTTCATTTGGATGAAGAGAAGGTATGTGTGGCCGGTGGTGTCTGGCACGAAGGTTTCCTCACAAGGGTTCTGTGAGTGGTCCAGCATTGTCCCCCGACGTAGCAGCTCTGTTATCAACTCTTCATATGGCTCCTTTTTCAAACTGAAATATATTATATGAATATAGAATCTTGTAAAAACTTACATTGAAATTAATAATGACAATACAATGTATTAATATCAACATGTATCATATGCAAAGGTCCTTCAGTATATATCAAAGAAAAACAACATGTGTACATAACTAATTATGCAAAGTAATAATATGGCAATAAACTACACAAAATTGTGAACTTCCTTTGTGACATATTATCTTATGATATTTCAACAGTTCCCAACTCAGATTTATATTTATCAAAAGATCAAAAACAAAAAACAGAGCAAGTTATGCCAGTAACCAGTGAGAATCAGATGGCCACTACTATCTCAGCAGTCACAGCTCACCGGAGCAGCTGATGCACTGTTATAGGCAAGGTCACGCATTAGAGCACTGTATGTGTGGTGAACTGTTTCAGTTCAGAATGTAGTGAGTCGAGTGGCTATGTTGTTTTTTGCAAAAAAGACCCAAGGGGTTATAAATTTTATGGTGAAGCTGTTCTGAGTGTACAACCCAAGCTTGACAATAATGGAAGTTACCGTACACAGTGTTCACAGAGAAAGATTTTGAGGAAGGAAAAGTTGTATAATATGGACACGAAGTAGTATCTTAAGCTGTGTATTCTTATATTACTCTATTAATTATGTATAGTAAAGTATTACAGAACATGTATTAATCCTATGTAATATTTCCATTTATTATGCACCATGTTATGTATGTGAATTATCATATTTACATATTATGTATTCAGTTTGTGAATGCTGGCATCTGTACATGCCAACGCGGAGTGATACAGAGAGTTGAGATCGCTAGTCCTTATGGTGTGGAAGCCCACTTTTTCAGATAACAAGTATTTTGCTTCCTCGTTATATAGAACATTTTGGGGGTATCAAAGACAAACATAGATGGCGCAGTGAGATTTCTCAGTGAGATTCAGAGTGAATTCAGCCTTCCCGCCGGACTGTGTTAATGGCGTCTCGTCTTCAGCTTCGCCAAGGACTTACAGCCGGACTACATGCCTCAGGACTTACAGTGTTGTGAAGTGCTATGCTGTGTACAGTGCTGTGCTGTGAAGTGAAGTGTTCGGTGAAGTACTGTGTTGTGTATTTTAATCAGAATTGTCTGTGCAAACTGCAATCAGATGACTGAGGGAGCTGCCCAGCAGTACATCCCTTCCTGCCTATAGTCATTGGGTAACTGAGCAGCGCGCATTAAGACAACTTCGGTTCAGTTGCGACTTGCGCCCAGCTGCCTCTACGTCTGGCAGCGCGCCAAGCTTCCCGGCAACGAGCCATCCACATACACACGCACTCACAGGCCCACTTTATATTAAATTCTTGCGTATTACTTTAGACTTCTGTAATTCTGTGCATAGATTACGAGGGGTTGATCCGGTCTCTTGCACAGATAGAGTACAGAAGCTGTCAGCATGTCTCACAGGAATCAAAAAGATACCCTGGACGACGGGGTTATGAGTTTAAGCTTGGGAGATCTCTCCCCACCCACACTCAGGCCCCACGCTCCCCACAGTGACAACTCCTAATCACCCACAGAATCTCCTCGTTCGTCGCGAGCAAGCTCTCCTGCGGTGCTTGCATCCAAAGATCTCCTTCAACTGATTAAGTGGATGGAAACTTCTCGACGCCAGGACTATGTTGCAAGGAGAGAAGAGGAAGAAATTCGGTACAGAGAGTCTGAAAGACGAAGCCACGAAGATGAACAAAGACGCAGAGAACTAGAAGATATACGTAGAAGTGAGGATGACCTGAGAAGAAGAGAGGATCAAGCCAGATTTGAAGCCTTGATTTCCCTGTTAGCCTCCCCACAACGATCTACTCTGCAAGATTCTTCTGCTACTACTAATGCTGATACGACTAGAGGTACTGGTACCTCATTTCCCAGAGTCGGTTCGACAATGCCTCAAAAGGCTGCAGCACAAACGCCTCCCTCTCTGAAGTCTGACGCTTCTTATCAGATATTTCGGGAATGGCGTCGACGTTGGCAAGACTATGCAACAATGGTTGACCTGTCAAGTTTACCACAGCCTAAACAGATGATACAGCTTCGTATGTGCTTGTAACTTAGAGACACAACGTACTCTCGAGCACACACTTCAAGTGCCTCCTACGACAACTCTGACTGTAGAGGCCGTGCTTGACAAGTTACAGGAACATGTTAAGGGACAGCGCAACGAAGCACTTAGAAGAAGAGAACTCCTCCAATGTAAGCAGCTTGATGGAGAATCTTTTGATGCATTTTTTGTAAGACTGAAAAGATGTTCAGAGGAAGTTGATGTTTGTCCTGGAAATTCTCAAGTTTGTGAAGAGACACAACTCAAGACAATCATTTTAACGGGTATTCGAGATGAAGAGCTAGTTCAGCGTCTCATTTCACTTGACCCCACTTCCTCCCTTCAAGATGTTGTTACAAAATGTCGAGCGTACGAGGCCGCCAGGTGTGCGACTTTAGCTTTACGCTCACAACCTGACCAGGTGAGGGCAGTGTCTTCCTACAGAAAGGGTAAGAAGCAGCAAGGTAACCCCACCCCTCACCCTCCAGCTGCACCTTCAGCAGCAGCTTTGTGTAACAGCTGTGCTAGACAGCATAATGCCTCCCAGTGCCCAGCTGCTCAAAGCGTGTGCAGAAGTTGCGACCGCCAGGGTCACTGGGCTTACACAGTCAAGTGCCCTGCTAGCAAAGTTCAGTGCAGACTTTGTGGTCGTGTGGGCCATTATGACAAATGTTGTTGTAAGAAGACACAGAGAGGACACCACCAAGGATCCAAGAAGTCATCCTCAGGTAGTGCTGGCACGCCCCCTCCTTCTGGCAAGCATCAAGACGCTGTGCCCAGTCGTTCCTGCCGTCGTGTACATTGTTCCACAGACACGACGCCCCAGCACATCAGTGTCGTCATTTCTTACGGTAACTTGTCATCCAGTCTTCAGATGTTACCTGACACCGGTGCTGACGTCTCAGTAATTGGTCCACAACACTTAGCAAGTTTGGGAATACCCCGGAGCAACCTACAGCCCCCTCCTCAGACAACGAAACTGACAGCTGATGGTTCCAAGATGGCTCCAGCTTTGGGATCTTTCTGGGCTACTCTTACCTTTGGTAAGCAGTCTTGCTCAGCCCGGATTGATGTTCATGATGGGATCCCGACTCTGCTTTTATCATATGGCCATTGTCAAGAGTTGGCCATTATTTCCAAGGAATTCCCCAAACCTATTTTAAAGGTCACCCATGTCAACAGGTTGAAGGAACTCCCTATCTCTACTAACAAGTCCCCTTCTGATGCAAGAGCTTACCTTCTCAAGAAATCTTTAGGATCCACACCACTCAAGCCGATGGTGGGTCCACCTATGAAGATTCATCTTAAGGATGGTGCCAGACCTTTTGCCATCCACACCCCTCGTTTGATTCCTCACGCCTACAAGGAGCTAGTTAGACAAGAGCTTGACTCCATGGTTGCTCAGGGAATCATCAAGCCGGCCGGAGACGAACCTTCACCTTGGTGCCACCCTCTCGTCCCCGTCGCCAAACCTCGTGGTGGAGTACAGATCACCACCGATCTATCAAAACTTAACCAGCAAGTTTCCCGTCCAGCCCACCCTTCACCCACACCCTTCGCAGCTGTTCGAAGTGTGGACCCGAAGGCGAAGTTTTTTACAACGATGGACGCCTTATGTGGTTATTGGCAGATCGAGTTGGCCGAAGAAGACCAGCATTTGACTACATTCATCACACCATATGGAAGATATCAGTATTGCAGAGGCCCCATGGGATTTGCCGCTACGGGCGATGCATTCTGTCAACGTGGTGACGCGGCCCTTCAAGGAGTCACGAATTGTGTCAAGGTGGTTGATGATATTTTACTCCATGACGAAGACTACTGTGCCCACCTCTCCCGAATATATGAAGTTCTCACCAGATGTCGAAAGTAAGGGATTACCCTCAACGCTGACAAGTTTGTAGTCGCCGCACCATCAGTGATCTTCTGTGGGTACACTCTCTCAGCAGACCCGGAGAAATTAAGTGGAATCAGGGATTTTCCAACCCCTGCCAACCTGACAGACCTCCGTTCTTTTTTGGGTCTGGTCAATCAGCTGGCTGAATTCTCACCTGACATCTCCGCCGCAGCTCAGCCGTTACGCCCCCTGCTGAGCCCCAGGAGGACATTCCTGTGGACCCCAGATCATCAAGAGGCCTTCCAGCAAGTCAAGCAGGCCCTCTTAAGTCCACCTGTCCTCGCCTGTTACGACCCAGCCCTACCCACCGTCCTCCAGACTGACGCCTCCAGACTCTACGGCGTTGGTTACGCCCTTCTGCAGAACCATGGCGGTGGACAACTCCGCTTAATTCAGTGTGGATCCCGGTTCCTGACGGACGCCGAGACCCGATATGCCACGATTGAGCTGGAGATGTTGGCTGTTGTCTGGGCGATGGCGAAGTGCCGCTTCTACCTGATAGGACTTCAGCACTTCACCCTCTTCACGGATCATCGCCCTCTTATACCTATTATCAATCACTACTCTTTGGATGCAGTAGAGAATCCTCGCCTTCAACGTTTGAAAGAGAAGCTCTCGCCTTATCTCTTCACGGCTGTGTGGCGTGCGGGTAAGCTGTTGTGCATCCCGGATGTCCTGTCCCGCGCCCCTGTCAGTCGCCCCACCCCAGAGGACGAGATGTTGTGTTCTACAGCTGCCGCATCCCTCAAGTCAGTAGTCTCATTGAAGGCTGTCTTCACATCAGAAGAGTCTACAGCACCGGATGCAGACAAGACCCTTGAAGATCTCTGCACCGCAGCCCAGGCCGACCCTTCCTATATCCGGCTCGTCGACTGTGTGTCTCAGGGATTTCCATCTAACCGATACGACCTTCATGAATCGCTACTCCCGTACTGGAAAATACGCGAGGACCTCTATTGTGATGGAGACCTCGTCTTGTATGGTCCACGAGTAGTTATTCCTGCTGCCCTACGCCGCCGTACCTTGGCCCGCCTTCACGACAGCCATCGAGGAGTGGAGGCCACCAAGCGACGGGCGAAGCAGACTGTATTTTGGCCCGGAATCGACGCGGACATTGCAAGTACCGTCCGTGCCTGTGAGCCGTGCCAGATTTTGCAACCCAGCCAGCAACAGGAACCTTTAATGTGCGACGATAACCCTTCAAGACCCTTCGAGTCTGTGTCGGCCGACTTCTTTGCAGTGGCAGGGAAGTCCTTCCTCGTCATTGCCGACCGATTGTCTGGATGGCCTGTTGTCGTCCCCTGTAGTAGTGATACAACGGCTACTGCTACCATCCGGAACTTCAGGCATTACTTCAGAGAAGTTGGTGTTCCCCTCCGCCTCAGGACTGATGGAGGACCCCAGTTCACCAGCCACGAGTTCCGGGACTTCATGGACCGTTGAGGAGTCCGTCATGTCGTGACCTCGCCCCACTACCCCCAGGCGAATGGACACGCTGAAGCCGCAGTCAAGACTGTGAAACACCTGATCCTTAAGGTGTCACCCTCAGGAAATATCGACTGCGAGGACTTCGATCGAGGTTTGTCGGAGTTACGCAACACCCCGAACTTCACCGGACGCTCCCCAGCCCAGGTTCTATACGGACATCATCTCAGGTCTTGTGTTCCTGCCCACCCGAAGTCTTTTTCTCAAGAATGGCAGGCCAAGACTGAGGAATGTGACCGCCGTGCAGCAGAACGAGCCGCAGATGTCGCTGCTCGGTATGACTGTCATGCCCGCCCCCTTCCCAGGTTGAGTATCGGCCAGCAGGTCAGGATTCAAGATCCGGTATCTCACCGCTGGGACAAGGTTGGGGTTGTCATAGGTATTGGCCGGTCCAGGGACTACCAAGTGCGTCTTCCTAGTGGTAGAGTATGGTGGAGGAACCGTCGTTTCCTCCGACCTGTGGAGCTGCCTAGTGTTGACCCTTCCCCAGTAGAGTCCCCTAATGCTGATGTCTTTACAGTAAATCCATCCCCACCTTGTGTTTCTGCCCCAGTACTCCGCAGGTCCGAGCGACTCAGAAACAAAAGGTCCGCTCAAGATGAAACTATGAGCGTATAGGGGGGAGGGAGGTGTATAATATGGACACGAAGTAGCACTTTAAGCTGTGTATTCTTATATTACTCTATTAATTATGTATAGTAAAGTATTACAGAACATGTATTAATCCTATGTAATATTTCCATTTATTATGCACCATGTTATGTATGTACATGCCAGCGCGGATTGATACAGAGAGTTGAGATCGCTAGTCCTTATGGTGTGGAAGCCCACTGTCTATTTGTTTCCTCTGTATTTATCTCCCGTACGAGAATAAGAACCTATTTTCAAGATAACAAGTGTTTGCGTATACCCTCCGTAGTGTAGAACATTTTGGGGGCATCAAAGACAAACATAGAAAAGTATTTATCAATAGTTCTTATTTCATGTTATAATGCCATTATAATGCCATTTAGGAGGGAGGTAACTGGAGAATACTGGTACTGTATTTGTGCTGCCCAGTCTCTAACACTCACTTTTGTGACAACCAGAGTGACAATTGCTGTTACTTGCACTGGAAAAATATTCACAGCTTAGAACCCCCCCCCCCTCAGCTTAACTGTTTCTTTACAAACCTGTCTAAGTCTCTCAGCTCAACGTAAGGAAGAGTGTTGAAGGAATGCTTTTTAAAATATGTGTCTTGGAAGTAGGAGTTCATGTTGAGTCCTGACGAGCCAAAGTGGTAGGTGCGAGACACATCAGGCACAATACACTCTCTGCCTCGCCGTACCTCACCTAAACGCATCCACATGTCCCAGTCCCACATCTGAAGTAAAATGATAATAGGAGATAATGTAT